AAAATTGATATTTGAATCAGATCTGTTTTCAATTGTTCCTTTGTATTCAAAGATATTATCAAATGAAAGCTACTGAATAAAATCGATGATGGCACTTTACAAAGTATATTATCAGTTTAGCTAAGCATTGTTCAAAATCATCCAAAACTAAAATGCTCCCTCATCGAAATGGAGGAATACTAGCCACATAGAAGCCCGCTTATAACGTAATAAGTATTTACAAAACGTAACTTTGTTTGGTTTAGAAAGAAATGAAAAATTCCACAAAAACCGGAAAGCTGCGAAGATAGTCATTCAACAATGATTCATTCTTGCCCAGTAATTTGAGCGAGAATTTTTTCTTTGTCTTTTAATAGAGGGAGATGGGTTTGAGATTGACGCGTGTGCCAATCAATGCAGTTTTGGTCTGAGGATACTAGTTTGATGCAACCACCGTTAAAAATTGGAAATTGTAAAATTTGGGCCAATTTTTGGCTCGCAAAAAATTGTAAAATATTTGAAGGCGCTTTAGTGCGACACGGCCCTTTAGTTCTCAATTTCAAATAGATCCAAATAGACCGACCGACTAATCCTCTATTTCCGTATGTGACGTATACGGCGGGCGACTTTAAGATGGCTATCCTAACCGAAAAACGGCTCTCACTTTTCTAAATACTGATTTTAATTGTATTCATTGCCTGTTACGTGGTCGAAGTAATGGGAAATGACTTCAGCTTAGCAATGGTTACCGTCAACTAATCACTTTTGAATGATAATTGACAGCAGATGTTTGCATCACTTTCTGGTTACTACGTTTGAGCTAGTTGATTATTTATCCACTCTGAACGATTTTGCGATTCCCCAGCTTCAGATAATCAATAGTTTGAACAGCAAAGTTTTTGATGGCATCACAGCAAAAATCGTTAAATGCGGATCGATTGCAGGCAGTATTATTTTCAACACGCTTTGTCACGCGAGAAAAGGAAAATCAGTTCGCCATTTTAAATGTTAATTGGATTAGTTTCTCAACGTGATCAACCGATAACAAAAAAAATCTATATTCAACAATTCAATTTTTTTTCTTTTTTTAAATGTTTATAAATATCAATTAACAATGGTCAGAAATCGATGAAAAGCAAGGAATAAGAAAGCTATGTGCAATACATTATTTGAGACCTGGTTTGATTCTTTCCAACGTGAAGAAAGATCAAGGTATGATACATTTCTTTGACATATATTAAATGTAACAAAGCCGCACTAGGGAGTTCTTCCTAATTGGTCTATCATTCCCTTTCGTAATGGTAACAGATTGCATATCTGACTTCAAGTACAATTCCAAACTCGAGACCATTTCTATTCCTTCTGTGTTTGCTAAGTTTATTACAACGGCTGCTACAACTTCGTCTTCTCAAGACTTCTTTCACAAATGTTTGTAAGAAAAACATTGCACCAGAATGTATTAATCTGCTTAGAGCAAGGCGGGCGTAATCTATTTGTGACAAGATGGTGACTTAGACAAGAAAATCAACGTTGTTTGTTGAAAGAAAAAATAGTGGCTACTAAACAGACGAAATTCTTGTAAACTAGTTGTCTCGTTGTTATGGTGCTTTGAATGGACGCCGCTCTTTCAGACGCATCGTTTTTCCATATCCTTGCTCTTACATGTGGCGCTTATTTTTGAGCAGCGGTCAATCGAGTCAATAATGTTTTTAAAATTGAAGCAAAAGCATGAAAACTAATCTTTTAATAAATTGAAAAATAGAAGCTTAGTTATTTTTTGTTTTACTTCGTAAATATGACTTTTCAGGTTACCCTTGAATAAAACTATCGACGGTTTTATTCTGAAACCAAAAATTCCTAAAACTGACTCAAGACAAAGAGTAAGGTTTACCAAAAGCACACACAACAACTGAGATCCCCTTGAAGTAAAGAAGTAACTTGAGACTTACTCTCGACGATAAGATTGATGTTTTTCCTCTTCAACTGGCCATGGTCGTCCACTTCGCAGCTGTAAGTTGTACTTCTTTCTTCTTCAGTGACGTTGATTTGAAGTCGCACGCTAGTGCTGTTTTGCACAACAGCGCCATTCTTTCTCCAAACAATGCGAGGAGCTGGTCCACCTTCCGCCGGGCACCACAAAGATGACGATTGGTGGAGGACAAACTGAGTCTTTGCGACGTTTCTTAGGTTAGTGGGAACTAAGCACAAACATAAGAAGACATATCATCCAGAATAAATTATACCATTAGGAAAATCAGAACATTTTAACCTAAGAATACTTACCTGTTGCACTTAATGCTTTTCCCTCATAATATCTGGGATAAAATAGCCGGTATCTATGGTTAGATGAAAACCTTAACCACGTGTTCTGTCCACTGGAACGTAGCGTAAAGTGAGGAACGTATCTTCCACAAAATACACCCAAAAGATTTCCAGACTGATTATACCCATCACGGATCTCAAGATATTCCTCATCTGCACAAGGTGCTCCAGGTGAGTCACGGTGTATCCATAGCCCCAATCGTATTTCCATATATTGCCCTTTTTCCACTTGAAGACGCTGGGTTGAACCAAAGTCTGGGATATCACGGGAGTATACTTCTGCGATTATTGCAACTGACA